GGGGGGGGGGGGAGGAGAAGATAAGCTAGGGATGCGGCTGACAATTCAGTGCATTTTCGGGCGTCATGGCCCTTTCGGCAATTAGCCAAAAGTGGCATTTTCAGCCAAAATTTCGGTGCATCCCTACAATGCATTGCTGTCTGCCTAACATGTACTATGCAATCATCGATTTTTATATAACGAACCTTCGGATGAAATATAGAAAATACAAAAATGCCAGATAACATAAAATGCATTGAAACATTAAAAATGAATAAATATTTAGAGGATGCAATCATGCTTAGGGTAACTGTAGCGATGTTAATGACTATTGCAACAACACAGTTGAATACAGTCATTGATGCATTTTTTTTTTTATATGATTTACAACAAGCAATTAACTTTTTTAGGACAAGATTCCGGGGGCCCAACCCGCTTCTCGGTCTAAACAACACTGATAAAGCTCTGTGTATTAGTACTGCTTGGAACTTAAAAGAAGGGGGTAGGGCCCCAAAAAGTATGTCCTGATGATCTGATGAAAATAATTATGTGCAATTTGTGTAGCATTAGGGAGATTTCAATTCCTGTCCCAGAGACACAACAGGAAGTGAGAGGAAATTCTCATAACTGAGGAAGATATCTTCTAAAGCTGGTCATACACTGTTTTATTTCGTTCAACCCGCGGGATTAACGAAAAAAAAATAGAAGCGATTCCTCCCATCAACGCTGCGAGCATTAATGGATGAATCCCCTGCCGTTTCCTTTCCAGTGGCCACTGTCAGAATGCATGAATGGTGCTTGCAGCTGGTTGGCTGCAAGCACCATTCGTTCAAAGATTTTTCAACCGGCTCTCTCAATCTTCTGATTGAAGGACACCGGCTGGGAGTGTGCCGACAGTGACACCCAATGTGCGAATTTCAGCCTGTTCATGAAGAAACAGCTGCATAGTGTAAGGCAAACTTTAGGCTGGATTAGGTGGCTCTGCCGACTCAACAAAAGGCAATTACTTAATTGCCTATTGTCAAATGAAATGGATGAAAGTTTTCAGCCAAACAGTGACTAGAGCCAATCAGCTGCAGTCACTGTTCATACATTGCGAGCACCAGCTGTCACAAAACTATAGCCACAAGGGCAGACTGCCCCATTCACACTGTTAGCATTGCTAGAGGAGGTTCATCCTTTTGTCTGGGTCAGTGGTCACCAGACCAAATAGAAAAGGTAAACCACCTTAGAGGGGACACAGACAAGAATAGAAAATAGATATTTGGGCTGATTTACTAAAGGAGTTGAGAATGTCCACACAACATAATTTGTAAATATTCACTTCAAAGATCTAATCATGAGAAAAACAAATTCCTGTTCACATTGAATTCTCAATACTGTATAAATAAGTGAACGGGAATTTGATTTTTACATGATCGGATAATTGATGTGAATATTCCCAATTTATTGTGTGAAGATTCTCCACTCGAGTGTTCACACCAGGACATATCCTAAACACGCATCAATTGCGCACAAAACACACTTGCATTGCCATTACTAGGTAATGGCATCCCAAATGTGGCCAAGCAAACACATTTTTTGCACGCGTGAGAACACGCATGAACGAAATGCAGAAGGCGTATTACTTGGCAATCAATGGGAGCACCCTCCAAACACAGGAAACATATGTGCCTCTACAGAGCCTTGAAGGCTGGAGAAAGCACAGAATCATGGCTGAATTCTTGATTTATATAAAATGATGCAGTAAGACATGATTATAATGGGATTGATGACAAATTTATGAATTTATAATCTTGTTTCTGTACGGGCTCTAGGGAGGTTCTATGTTCTAGACATCTACTATTGTTTTTATTCAGATGAATGGATATGCTGTTGTTTGTTTATACATGTATATTATGAATTGTAATTAAAATTAATTTTACTACCTATATGATGTATTTGACATGTTTTGATTCATTCCCCTGTATTCTCTAGTAGTCACCTTGAAAGCCCTATCTTTTTTGTTGGTGTTATTTTGAAGATATGAGTAAAGGTCCACTTTAATGGCTCGTTACCACCAGCCCGTGTGCTCATTGCACTGTCCCATGCCCGGAACGCAAGGGATGGCACACACAAAGTCTCCTTGCATTCTGGGGCAGGAAGGGGCGTGGCAGTGCCATTCATGGTAATGGAACTGCAGACACGGCCGCCCACAGTGCGTTTGGCTGCACAGGACCGCGTGCTAATACAATGCCCTGCGTTCCAGTGCGGTATGATTGCAAAATATCGCTATTGGAAATGAGCCCTAAGAAGGGATTGAGCCCTGAATGGTTGTCAGGGAGGGGGCTACACTTTTTTTTTTGTCAAGGTGCTCCTATTAACGCACAATTCTATCTGAAAAAGCGTACATGTTTTTGCAAGCTACGAGTGACAGTTCAATTGGAATGGGCACCCCTGAAACTAATGGGATTGTTCATGTTCTGCATTTCAGGAAAACACATCACAAAACACTCAGGTGTGAATGGGGGCTTACGGACCATTAGTAATTGTTCACACCATGTCCAGACCCGAACAGTCTGTTCCGGGACAAAAAAAGCATCTAAAAAAAGTATCCCTATGGCATTTCTGGGCTCTGTTCACATCAGCGCAGTCTGTTGCAATCCAGACAAAAAAAATACTGCTGGTCTCATTTTCTTGGTCTGAAACGCACGGAACTGCACCTGAAAGTGGCAACATCGTAACAAGAATGTGGCAAAAATGCACTGCACTGAGTTTGCAGATCTGGTCCGGACAGGTATGAAGAGAAAATGAGCCCGAAAAGATAGTGGGGTTTTTTGCAGACGCCCTTTGTTGGAAATATTACCACACAAACATATAAATAAAATTACATTTTATTACTACATCTCATTAAAACCGTCAACATTTAAAAGCAAACAGAACTGGTTCTGTTTGCTTTTAAATGTTGACGATTTTATTGAGATGTATTATCATCCACTATCTTTTCTGGTTAATTTTCTCTTAACATTGTTGTGGGAGTGATGAGCCCTTATGCCTGCTTGGTGACCCTCCTGGACATTTACCCAGGAATGGTCTGGGAGTTATTTATTCACAATTCAGGGTGTGAACATATCCTTAACCTGCACAAGATTTTGTGTGCGTTCATAAAACACATGCATCACCATTCATTGATAAGGACGCCCCAAACAAGACGTAGGACAATCGTGCACAAAACATGCAGTTACAAGGCAACTATGGGGTAAGTGGTTTTCCCCATAGTTCTCTTTAGGGTCATGGGAGAACATATACTAACCTCCTCCCGTGACCCAAAGCTCAGTATATAGCAGGCTATTACCCGAGATATACTGAGAGCATTGCAGCCGGTACCGATCCAGACAATATGGTCTGGATCCACCTAGCTGCGTGAGTGACAGCGGGCTCTGCCTGTATAGAGGCAGAGCCAGCTGTGCCCGCCCCCTCCCCCATCCGTTCCTCCACTCAGTGCTGGAGGATCGTAGAGGGGGGAATCCCCGCAGAGAGCGATGACTGACAGTCACCACTCCCTGCAGGGAGACGATCGGGAACTGAGCGTATTGGCTGCAGGTTTCTGCTCACTTCCCTATCGATAAAGAAGCTGTCACAGGTCAGTTCTAACTATGAGGATGAGTGGAAATCGCTCACCTCATAGATCTCTTTTAAACACTTGAAGCTTAAAAACTAACGCGATCCTTTTTGCCGTGTTTGTGACGCTTAAGGCAGGTCACTGAAACTAATAGGCTCCCCTAAAGCACATAAACATGAGGCAAGCATAAATTGAGGCTAATGTGGAAGGGGTAGTCCACACCAGATGCAGTCTGTTCAATTTGGTAGCTGCAGCCAAAATACATCACAATGCTTTCCTATGGGATTTCTGGTGCTCTATTCACACCAGTGCAGTCCGTTCCGATGCAGTCAGAAAAATACAGCTTGCCCTATTTTAGCTGCATTGGAACGCATCAAAAACACATGGAGACACACTGGAACGCACCTGAAGTCCCATTTTAGGCCCAAAAATGCATCAATTGCAGTAAAATCATGCCAAATCGCATTACATTGCAGCTGCGCAGACGCACGCAGTACTGGTGTGAACTAGCCCGTATTCTGTGCAGGATCCTGTGTAGAGATCAGCTTTTTATTACACCAGTGTGCACAGGCAGCTCTTCTGATCACAGGAGCTAACCTCTCATAGATTGCTATGCCAGTCACGTGGTGTGTGAGCACGCCATGGCAGAGCAAAGGTTAACCGGTGCTGCCCTTTCAGCATGTGCGATATGACAGGAGCACAGCCGGTGTGCAGTGAGTGTGGGTGCCCGGTCATCTCCATAGTAACCATCCCCACACCCCGCTTACCTCCGAGCGCCTTTTCCTGCACATGGCCTCCCGAAGCTGCTCCAGTCTCTCCCGTGGCACTCGCGTAGGGCGCAGGGACGGGAACACATCCCGATAGCGGCAACCCGCTCCTCCTCGTCGTCCTCCTCTTCATCCGAAGCCTTGTGGTGGCTCTTCCTCTGCGGCAGCTTCATCTTTTGGCCGGGCAGCATCCGAAATCTCAGGGCCGCACAGCCGTTGCCATGGTCCAGGCTGGGGAAGAAGCGGGCACTGGGCGTGTGAGGGGAGGATCTAGAAGCGATTTCCAGAACGCTCGTTCTCTTTCCCCGGGTTCCACAGCTCGAATAGTGACGTAGCAGCACTGTGGCGTCAGCGCCAGTCCACTCGGGAAACCCTGGCCTGTGATTGGCTGAGCGCGGGATCCCCGCCACCTCCTCTCTGAGGGGAGAGAGCGCCGTCTGTCAGGGCTCAGTGCTGGCCGAGCTCCGGCGACATCTTGCTTGGAGAAGAAACATGGATAGGTTAGCTCCAGAATGGCATTCAAATACGGTACATATAGGCTGCCGCAAAGAAGAACTAGGAGAATTTATCACATGGGTTTCATGAATTTGGCGCAAGGCTACATCTACACCCCTAGACATATGTCTAATGCCCATTTTGTAGACCATACACACTGCAGAATTCATAAAGAGCGTCTTTGAGCACTCTACAATTCCATCATGCATCCACATGACAAATGTCGGTGCTTTCCCCAGATTCATGTACCTGTTAGAAAAAGGTGGCGCAAATACCACCATTTGCAGTGCAGACATGGCACAGACAGGCACGTTGGTCGAGGACATATACTGCGGGTGGGCCGGAGCCTGATGGGGATGCTAGTTCCCCATCAGGTCTGCTCTGGTGCTCATTGGCAGTGGGCAGAGTCCATTGCCAAAAGCAGATTGGCTATAGCATCCGCCCTCTGCTTATCCCAGGAGTAACTACTAGCCTCCATTCATAGAACAGTATGTAATCGCTTCTTGGCCTTTTGGTTAAGCTCAAGTGTAGTATCTGTTCTTATCAGTTTTCAGAGAAGAACAGCTCCATTCCTGGCACGGATGAATGCTTAGTATTCTCTGATGTAATAGGTGGGTTCCGGAGGGGTTTCCTTTCATCCTGGGTTGATTCTGGTCTGGTTATGCCGGGCTTGTCCCCAGTTGTAGGCAGGAAATCCGCTGGTACTATTGCCTTCTGGTAGGGATGGGGCTGCATTTGTCTGGCCGGAGGGTTCAGGGAGCACAGAAGCCTGCAGTACTGTATCCCCTGGGAGTGGCGTCTCAGGGTGTGCCGGATAATCACTTGGGTTTGGGACCCCATTTGATTCACCAACACTAGGTAACGGCACTCACAGCTATTATCTGCACCAGGCCTGCTGGCTAGTCCGGGGCAATTTTTATACTTTGGTCTGGACGGCCTGCAAGGTTTTTGCACTGGCACTTATTTATTGTAAGCACTATTTTCATGCAGGGATGCACTTTTGACTTCACAGAATGACAAAGGGTGCGGATACCTTCGGGGCCTGTTGCTGAAGTTGGGGAGGAGGTTCTGTGGCCTCTACGGGCTTCCCTGCCTCCTCCCACTGGGGGGTCTTCCTTCAGGGGAGCCCCCACATAGTACTCGGTGGACCTGTTTCGGCAGGTCCCAGAGGAGAGGGGTCCGCCGGCCTTTGGGCAGGTGGAGCTAAGTCGTTCTTGTCCCTGTCAGGAGCCCTGCGTCCCGGGGATTAGGAAATTATGGCCCTTACTCAATAGAGGAGGAGCAATGGCACCCTTGTGCACTTTTTTTTTTAGTGTTTTGTGATTTCACGATTCATTTTTGACGGGATGTTTTTCGATGCACGTTTCATGGGCTTTAAAAAAAGAAAAATTTAATCAGACCTGGTTCCACATCTGTCTCTGCACATGCATGAGAACTGGTGCAACACATCTCAGCCGTGAGGAACCAGGGATGTTTTTCGATGCACGTTTCATGGGCTTTAAAGAAAAAGGTAATCAGACCTGGTTCCACATCTGTCTCTGCACATGCATGAGAACTGGTGCCACACATCTCAGCCATGAAGAACCAGGAAGAGAAAACCAGCTCCTCTTCATGTCAACTAGTAAGATGACACAAGACCAGTAGAAGCACAGCCGGACAAGAGGAAAAGACAACACTGGATGCATTGGGCTTGTAAGTGATTACAGCAAAAAAAGAGTGCCCACCTTGAAAAGGGGGGGGGGGCTTTTGGGAGGGTGAAGTTCTTCTATAACTAAAGCAGAACTCCAGGGAAACCGCTACACTTACTGTTGAAATACATACTGTATATGGAAGTTGTTTTATCTGTCACAGGATTTGTATATCTCTCCACCCAGTCTCCAGCCATAGGCTTCATTCACATCAAATGTTAAGGTGCGCTTTGAGATCCTACTATCAGGAACCTGCCAATTCCTGTGGCACGAATCTAAAAAATGATGCTTAGAAGCGGCTGCTGTCACCCGTTCAAGTTAATGATCAGGTGACAGTGGCCTGCAGTTGATAGCAGCAGTCTGCTGGCACTCTGCATGTAATTTCATCTGATACTGTCAGAACCACGTACCTTAGGGCAGTCTGAGTTGATGAGGGAGACCTCTCTTCTAGCTCAAGTCCAAGAATCCCAAGAGAGGCACGAGTGCCGGTAGTAGCGAAGTCCAAGACAAGCCGGATCAGCAACAGTTGAGCAGCGAGGTACCAAAACAGCAGACAAGACGTAATCGGGTCCGGGCAGCACTCAGTACAGAGCAGCAGGCAGGAGCATGGTCAGAAACAAGCCGAGGTCAAGGGAATCCAGAAGAGCAGAAGAATGGTCAGCCAAGCCGGGTCATTAACAGGAGATCAGAGTCAAGATGCAGGGTACAGGATACTGGCGCAGGGAACAGCTGAAGACCAGTCAGCGTTGGAGGCTAGAATGTCACAACCTTAAATAGCCCATTTAGTGCAAATATCCACAACACTCGTGTGCGCACAAACTTGCACACGCCGTGAGACGCATGCAAAGACGTGTCGCATAGACATTCATATACACATTTAACATGCATTAATCTATCATTGATCACCGTACTTTGTTCTGACTTTCAAAACTATGCAAAGTAGAATCTGTTGGTTAATACAACTTGGTGCATTTTCAGCTGCCCCTTCTAAATAAACTGAAATGGGCAGCGGAAGTTTTACCTCTGGGAACAATTCATTTGTCTTTAGAAAGATGCCAATTATCTCTGAGCAATGCAGTAATACTTCTCCAGTGGTTGTTTTTCTACTTCATATTCACTTGGGGTATTAACATGGATTATTGTGTTACATATTTGAATTTCTTTGAGGAACTGTGTCATTATTCAGGAGGATGCTGCAGGTATTAAAATGCAGCTTCGGATAATCATATTGTGAATGGAAATGTTATTCCTCCTTCAGTGTGGGAACAGACATTCCTGAACTGTAATTATTGCAGCAAGACTGACCATAGTTTGCAACTGGGAATTCATACATACTGTGTACAGATGGTGAATCATTGATTTTATTAGCGGTTTGCCATTTGTTCCCATAGAGAACCCACTCCTCTTGCTAACCACCACCATTCATTCAGTGTCTAAAAGTGGACGTGAAGTCTCTAAAAATTGCTGACAGATAGGCTTTCTATGGCAGAAGAGACTGTGTAAGTCTTGTCTACCATAGAAGCTTCTAGCTGCTTGGCAGTCATTTGTTTTCCTTTACACTCAGCCATGCATGTTCAGGTCAGTGTACAGGTTCTTCAAGGTTTTTGCCAAGAGGAAGTAAGTTCCGTGCACATGTGCGGGAGTTATGTCATCGGGGTCAAGCAGCCGAAGAGTCAGAACCCGGACACAGATGTATTTATTTATTACTGTTGTTTATATAGAGCCAACAATCTACGCAACACTTTACATAGTTGCACATTCACATCAGTCCCTGCTCTCAAGGAGCATACAATCTAAGGGCCCTATCTCACATGCATACATAGACATACCGGGTCAATTTAGACAGGAACCAATTAACCTTCCAGCATGTTTGTGGAGCGTGGGAGGAAACTTGGAGGAAATCCATTCAAGCTCAAGGGGAAAATGCAAACTATGCAGATGGTGTCCTCACCAGGATTCAAACCAGGGATCCCCAGTGCTGCAAGCACTAACCACTACAGCACTGTGCTGTGCATGTTAGAACATGCAAACTCTATGCTGATGGTGTCCCCACCGGGATTCAAACCAGGGATCCCAGCCCCCCCCCACCCTTTATGTTTTTATATCGGCTTTACTTCTGCTTTAAGAACTTTGACCTACAATTTCTATTTTGCATTCACCCTCTTGAATGGTTAATCCTCATGAAAACAAAACTAGGCAGCTGTGCATGGATTGATCTGCTTTTTATAGTGTCCCCCTCAGACATCACAGTTTAACATGTGGAATGGAATATGTTTTTCAGGGATATGCAATCATCTCCATAGGCATCCTGAATCAAAACACATTTCTCCAGCCTTTAATTCTGGAACCATCTCAAGACTATGGCCTGCATAAAGAACAACTTGCATAAGAAAATTGTTTATGTAAAACATACACACATACAGTATATACTTAGCATGTAATTGTTTTCCTTTTTTTAAATAGTGGTGAAGCCAGAAAGGGAATTGGTTTGCTTACCAAGTAGCCATTCAGAAAGAAGAGATGTTAGCTGCTGGAGATGAGGCTTTGCTCTCATTGTGGACAGTGACAGCCTCTGGGACACAGAGATACTCAGTGGGGGTACATGGGACTGATAGGTTTAGTAGTTTACATAAGAAACATAAGGTTGTTCGTTGTTCTGTTAAGCTCAGCACGGAGAACTAATACAGCCATATCATCTAAAAACTGGTAAGCTGAAATTTCGTAATATTTTCATATTTAGATTAGTCTCCATATAATGAGACAGCCTGAGGCATCTCTTTGGATCACGTGGGAGGGGTGACAGACAGAGCGTCATTTCCGATCTGCTGCACAATGTTTGCAGTGTGCCTGCTGCCCTTTCCGGCTAAGAGCTGTG